CCAACACTTTTCCTCTCAACTGACACATGAATATCCCCTTAAATGGGGGGCAGTGGCGAATGGCCAGCAGTTGATTGTTGTTTGGCCAAAATGATGTTGTTCTTAGGGAGTGAAAACAACAAGTGCAAAGATCATAAAGTAAACCAAAGAACTTTACTCTAGCAGCCTCCCAGATGGGCAGTACATTTTTAGCACTCCAAACGAGTCTATAAAGTTTCACAGTCTGTGGGCGCCGTCATCCCGTCATCCCATCATCCCATCATCCGGTTCCGGTTTGAGTTTAATTTTCTGGCTTATTTTCGTGCTCATTTTTTGGGGAGGAAATCAATAACTGAATTTATTATTCAACAGCAAACAGGAAGCACAAAATCAACTCAAGTTCCAGACACAGGCCCCTCTCAAGGCCATCGTTTGGGCCAAGGTTGCTACAAATTAAAATTATAAAAAGAAATCAAGAATATACTCGCACACTGAAATTCATACTTGAGCAGCGCTCGAGTATACCTGCTTGTGGGTATATTCGGTGAGTGTTCGATGGGTAGGGGCGACCTCAAAGTCACGCGATTGTGCCTCAAAGCCAGGAGAGGAGTGCCTTGACTCGGCTGACTTTTTGAGTGCGTTTTCCATTTAATTACTGTTTTCTGACTGCTGCTTTTCCACTGCCCTGCCCTCCCTCTGTGTCCTAGAAGTAGGAGTGTATTTGCAACTGGGTGGCGGGGGTACTTAGGCCATCAAATGTGACATAATGGGCTTGTTAAAGTCGTACTGTCTATTGATTGGTAACCAATTTGTATCATTTATTCACTTATGTAGTCGTATGGAATGGGACTTGATCTCTTGGAAAAGTGATTTGTTTGGGAAATCGATCCATCCCTTGGACTTGCTGGAACCAAGTCTTCCTCATTTGGGACCCATAAATGATGCTAACTAAATGAGATTTTCAGTTTGAGATACTCCTGCGGAGATGTGCCCCTAATTGACTTTGTAATGAGCTTCCTTCTATGGCTTGTGAGGGCCAAGAGCGAGGTCCATTAGCTGCACTTACCTCTGGACATATAGACAATCAAAGTTGGAGCCGCAGTCGAATGCCGAAAAGGAGTCTGGGAGTCAGTCATTATGAGGTTGGGATACCATAATATCCAAACACATCCTTCCTGCTTCGCTGAACCCCACTCTGGTTCAACTCCAGGATCTGGTGCCACGAATAGTTTGGGCCTTCTCCCGTTTGCATATTTTTGTCATTTTATTTTTTGGTGAATATGTATATTTTTCTTCGTGGCACAGAGTAGGACAGAGTGAGAGGGAGTGAGAGAGGGAGAGAGAGAAGAGGAGCGAGGGATTCGAGTCATGTGTGGCAGACATGCATAATTCAAAACGTGGCTGGGAGAATTTTTGCCCTACCCTGGGTGTAGTATGGGTGTCGACGTGTCAGTAAGTGTGTGTGTGTGTGTGTGTGTCTGTTAGCCACTTTTTATGTTGGTAATTCGACTATGGGGACATGTCTGAGTGTCCTTGCGTCCTTGCTGCCTCATGTCTGTGTGTGTGTTGTGTGCTAACGCAATTTTCGTATAAAAGCTGGCCAAAAAAGAGAGGAACAAAATTCCACCAACATCACCACCGCCACCACCAACCGCCTTCGCCTTCTGTTTGACATATTTTTCACACACAACGTCTGCTTGTTAAATTGTTGGCGGCAATTTTGAGGTTAGCGTGACAAACACAAGCACACTAGCGCGCACGCATGCACAGACATGTATGTATGTGTGTGTGCTTGCAAGGACATGGTGGCAGTGCAGTGCAACCAGCTTGATGTTTGTCAAGTTCTTCGGGGCGATACGAGTCCGCGACTATAGTGGCTGTTGCAGGCATGCCATGCCATGCCCCCGTGGCACAGCAGTCACAGTTTGCTGCTCTTTCGCTTCTTATTTCTCTCACATTTGCACTTTGCTGTATGGCCAGAGGAATGATAATATCCTCATTGTCATTGTCATATAATCCGATCAAGAATATATGCTTGTTTGATATCAAAGGATGTACTTTAAGATACCTAAGGATATCAATGGAATGGGATTTAATCAGCCTAAGAATGGAATGAATAACTTTTCAAACTGCTTGTAACCCATTTCATAAAGTTGCCTCTATACCCTCTCTAAGGGCATTGAAAAAATGTGCAAATGAAAATTGAAATTAAACCCTTTCCATGAACACTCTTTTCCCTGTTGCCTGTTCATCTCACACCATTTTTTAATGGACTTTAACCCACGTCTGACAGTGTTTGTAAATATGCAAAGTTCGTTTTTATCTTTGCACATTTCTCTCTGACGTTTTCCATACTGTGGCACGCGAACGGGAGAAGAAGAACGAGAGAAATAAACAGGCAGAGCGAAGGAGAACTGAATTGAGAATCGCTTGCATGTTTAGCACTTGACGGCTTAATGGCGAACAATTTGGGTTAAGACAAAAGGCAACGCCCCTTTGCCGACTCAGCTGGACGACGGCACCTACCGTGGATTAAGGGATGAGGAAGACGCCACTGGAAGGGCTTAAACAAGGACATTTCAATTATTGTAAGAGGCTTTAAGCGAGGCCTTTTATGGCTCACCAAGTAATGGAATTTTAAATTTCAAATTAAAGCTGAAACAAATGCATTCCGTAATTGATTTCTTCACAGCGCAATGCATTCGAAAAGACGAAAATCTTATTTATAAGCTCGCATTCAAAAAATAATTGTTTTAACTGAAACCGTAATTCGCAACATAAACAACTCGCCCTGAGCTCAGTACAACAGTTGAAGCGTCGACAGAAGGGACAGCACAGGACCAGACAGGATACGGACATGACTCAGTGTTGTCCAGTGTCCGCTGCCCACTCAACCAATAGCCAGGAGGCAAACAGAACCGATAGAGCTTATGGTGGGGGGGCTTTGGGTGGGGCTTAACAAACATGCAGCTGCCAACAATTTATTGGCCGGACAATGACAACGACAAAGTCCGAGCAGGACAATTATCATTGAAAATATATGTACATACATACTCGTACATCCAGCAAAATGAGGGATTGCCGGAAGTGGAGGGGAAGTGCCAAAGGAGTGCTTAAGCCACTCATTCGAACACATTTTTATTTGTTGAAACAATGTTCGATTCCCACATGTATGTTTTATCGGTTAATAAGGTTACAGCGAGCAAATCCAGCATGAATTTAATGTACATACAAAATTAATTCCTGAACATTAAAATATTTTTATTTTTATCTTTGCCTTTGCTATTTCTTGGATATTTTGTTTCCTATATTTTATTAATATTTCGCCCCCAAGCTGAGCAGCTCGATTTCCACCCACAATTCAAGCTGAAGCTCTGCTATTCCCTGCCTTCCATTAATACTGCGCTGCTCGTACTACCCGCCGCCAGCAAAGTTTTTCCTCAGATACTTTTGTGGAAAACAGTTTCGGTTAAAGTTCAACTAGTTGCGAGAGAGAGAAAGAGAGAGGGGGAGAGAGAGCTCTACCCTTGCAGTCCTGGAGTTGCAAAGTGCATTAGACGCAAAGTAATCGATATGTAGGGGGTGGGGTGGATGGCATCGGAAGGATACCAGCGTCTTACGGCTGCTTAAAGCTTTCAATCAAGAGATGTGTTTGAGTTATCGTTCCTTTTTTGCGGTCGCTGTTTATCCCACGTTAAGTTTACATTAATGCGACTTATCAGTTTACCCAAATTGAAATGTTTGCACTTGACTGATTCTGAGCTCGCTTCCTTCCGGTTTTGTTTGCTCTGTCTTCTCCTTTCTTGTGTCTCCATATATACACACACATAGTATATATGTGCCTATGCCTATCGAATTTGCTTACTTACTTATTTAGGTAGCACTGCTAATGGCACATAAGAAAGGACCATGTGGAGCTGTTCGTATTTGTATTCGTATTCGTGCGCGTATGGCGTGCACGCCATCTCACTAGCTGTTTTAATGCCAGGGTTAGGTAAACACTTGCGAAATGAATTAACTTTAAGCCGCAAAATTTGTGCTCTTGTGTGTGCCAGTGCTCGGTGTGGGTGTGGGTGTGCGAGTGTGCACACATAAATGCTCGTAATTGTTTATTTACATAACTTGACATAAGATTAAAGACGCTTTTGATTAACGATGCGAGAGCCGACAGACTCTTGAAATTAAATTGCAAACATTAAATCGTTGACAGCCAGCCGCAGAAGATGCCAAACATTTGTCAACGAATCGAGTGCGAAATCAAAACTCACAGCAGAGTCCCAAAATATGTAGCTCTTAACTAGTTTCTATTTTAGTTAATATGTATATATATTTCAAGTCAAGTTTTTCTGTCTCCATTATCGATTTTAAATTTAATTCATGCGGAAAACTGTTATTCAAATACTTTTTTCAATTTTTCAATTAATGTGAAACGTTTTGGAATAAAGCAAATTTGCCTGTTTCAACCATATTCATTGTGCCCTTAGGCATTTCTGAAGGGGATTTACGCGAAAAAAAAGCCAAAAAGTCAACGCAGATATAGAAAGAAAGAACCAAAAAGGAAAATGAAAGTGAAAGTGGGCAGAGAAAGAGAGAGAGAGAGAGAGAGAGAAGGCTGGGAATTAGGGCAAAGCCGAAGTAAGCCATAATTTAATATATTGACACAAAGCTTTGTGGTAAGACGTGTCTTTGCACCAACATAATCCCCAATATTGTATATTGACAGCTGTCAAAGGAGCCACTTCCCGTCTCCACCAAGCAGATATGCGTACGCAAAAAACAAGAAAAAGACCAAGAGAAAAACTCAAAGGAAAAAGTAAGTTTTTGGCTTAGTGCGCAACTATGCGGAAAAGATTTGCTCTTAGTTCAAGTTTAGCATGGGAAAATGTTGATGGAAACGTACCAGTATGTAGGTTTAGACGCTGCAGCATTGGTTGGCGCACAACTCAACGAAGAATGTAGCCGAAAGTGTGGGTAATACGGAAATACCTTAAAGGTAAACAAAAAAAAACTACTCTAATGTAGGGTTCTCAGAGAAATTCGAGTCTTATTTAAAGATTGAACTCCCATTGATACTGTTTATTCAGATCCATTATTAGATAGATGGATTTGTGTGTGTTGTAGAAATCATGTTTTATGGATCGTGCCCATGGGACTTGTTGACCAAGTCCATGGCTTTGGCCATCAGCACCGAGGCATTTTGGAATACGTCCAAGTTCCTTCGGTTCACCTCCGGTTCCAGTACCGATTCCAGTACCGGTTCCAGTACCGGTTCCGATAAAGTAAGAGGATTAAACTGTTCCCGTTCGGGTCTTCTGTTCTCTTTGGGATTTTGGCAGTAGGTCAGAGTATCCATATCCAAGGATCGACGTGTTCGGGTCGTTCGGCCCGAGTGGTTTTCCGCGTCCCGTAGGGATGTGGAGGAGACAAACCATTCCAGATTGGTCAGCGATTGCGAAGCATGGATCGGACTGATGATATCCGGCAGGGAATTCATTGGCAGGCTGGTACCCGACATGGACGTGGCAGCCTCCAACGAATTGGATCGCACCAAACGCTTTGGGGACACGGTCTGCGCCGTGAGCTCCTTGACCCGATCCGCATAGCGGAGGGTGTTCAGTGTGTGCTCCACGCAGCGCAGACCCGGCGAGATCGTCGCTATCATGCAGGTCTTTACCTTCTTTCCGATGAAGGAGTCGCGCAGCACCTGGGTTAGCTTGCAGCCGCGAAATGGAATGTGGGCCGCTTGGCGACCCAGGGCCCTGATGCACTCCTTGAGCACCAGCAGGGACTTGTTGATCTCGGCGCCTTCCAGGCGGGTCCTGCGATCCGCACTGGAGTTGTCCGCCCCCCGCTCGTTCCCCGCCAGATCGATCAGCGATAGCTTTCCATGCAGACGGTACGTCTCGACGGTACGCAGAACAATCTGGAATATGGCGTGGGAGCGAGAGGACTTGGAGTTGGCCGAGGTCTGGCCCGAGGTGCGTGCACAGTTGCCCAGCTCTAGAAGCGCCAGGACATCGGCGGTGCTGCACGCTGGCCTCTCGGCGAGACCCACCACCTGGACCTGCTGGTGGCCATCCTCGAGGACGCGAAGCTGCTCCTTGCCCGGTGTCAACAGGTCGTAGATCCGCGATCCGTAGATCTCGAAAAAGCTGCAGGCCACCTTCAGTCCCAGGCTGGCATTCGACGGCTCCTGCAAAGTGCTGAACACATCGGCGGCCGCCCTCGCATAGATGCCGTCCATTCCGTTCTGCTGCTTTCCCGTGAACTCTCCCCCCATGGTGTGGGTCTTGCCGCTCCCGGTCTGGCCGTAAGCGAAGCACGTGGCCATTCCGCCTTCGAAGATGTGCCGGATCAGGGGGCGGGCAGTGTAGTTGTAGACGGTGGCGTTCGAGCAGGCCTCGTCGAAGGTATAGTCGAAGCGGAAGTTGTGGTTCTCAAGGAATCGCACAAGGTTCACGTGCCGGCGCGGCGAGTGCGCCACCAGCATGTCCGCACGGGGCATGCTGATCACGTCCAGCTCGCGCTCGGCCAGCTCCTTCCGGCTAAGGGGGCGCTTTCGCACACACACCACGATACCGTGCCGCTTGAGGGGTCCCGGAAAGCCCAGATCCTCCAGCGGCCGGCTCTCCATCTGCATTCGATAAAAGCGAATCATCCTGGCAGTGTCCCAGTTGGAGTCACATCGATCAGATCCGCCCCGAACTTCCCGCTGCTGATGCCGCTCCTGCCGGCTGGGCGACCGCTGCCTGGGCGTGGCACTTCCCACCTTCAGACGGCGCATGGAAATCGGTGAGCTGCCAGCCGGCAGACGTTGCATCAGGATGTTCCACATTCTGGTAGCGCTCACTGTGGTAGCTCTGGGCGGAATGGACACCATTCCTGTTCCTGTTCCTGCCATGTGCCCTTTTCGCTGTACCGCAAAGATATCCGGATTCAATTCGATAATCTGGCTCAGTGCAATCTCCTTGCCTCGCGTACAATCGCCCTCGGGCCACTCCACGGTCACAGAGTTGTTGATGCCGCCATCCAGCTTGATGATACTCGCCTGATGGACCCGTCCATCCGTACGGCGTACGAGCACCTTCTGCGTTATAGAGAGCACATCCATGTGGCCGCCAGAAGAGATTCCGAATGGGATGAGATGCACGATATGTTTCTGGCTTGGTCTGTGATTTCTACAACAGAATTTTATATGTGAGTATACTGCTAATTTAATAAAAACTATGGAACATTTAAATTTTTTAGGAATGGAGGTGTTTCGAATATTTTAAAAACGGATACGACTAACATTTCGATAGAGTGTTGATGAAGGAAAAAGGCCACCCCACAACTTGTTATACTCACCCTCACCTTTACCTTCAACATTCTGTCTGTTTGTGACAGATTGTTGTTTCCATGTTTCCGGATGGTTCTGTTTAATTAAGTTCGCTATAAGGTGACCACCTGATGTGGCAAATTGAGTGACAAATAAGTCTCAATGCTGATTAGGACGTTCTATAACTTAAGACCTTGTAAGACAATGGCAAATATATGTAAGATAGGAAATATGGGCTAAGTGGTGGAATCTTTTACGATACCGAGATTGTTTAAGCTATTTGTTCAATTTGAGGGCAAACAAGACAGCTGACAGCCACAATAACCAAATCAACAATGCGCCACCACTGCCACTGCCATTCGTTGGGGTGCTGTTTGCACAGCGATTGGTGTGGTGCGGTGCGATGGGGGGTGGGGTGGCTTTTGGCCATGTTCAACACGAAATGAAATGTAGTATTCTTTTAGGCACACACACACACACATACAGTGGTAGAGATAGAGTGGGAACAAGATACAGATACGTTTGCATAAGCCGAGACGAAACGTGTGTAACGTACCAAATTGTTATTTATTTTTTGAAGTGCTTGCACTTCGCTCTATCTCTCTCTCTCCCTCTCTGTCTCTCTCTTGCTCTCTGTATTCCCTGTCTCATTTCGGGGAAGGTGTAACTGTGGCACAAAGCGTGCGTCTATCTGTTTCTGCCACTGCCAGTGTGCGTAGGCACGAATACATACATATACACATACAGATGTACGTGCAACTTGTTTCAGTCGTCTTCACTGGCATCTTGTTTGCTATTTGGCGTCACACTTTGCCAAATTTACCGTGTAATTATCAGCAAAAAAGAAACTACGAAAGAGGCAAAAGCCAGGCTTTAGGCCAGAGCTCCAGCCTATAATGCAACAATAAATGGTCAAATAAGGTACGAGTAGCACCTCTGGTTGCCGTCTGATATGCAAATTTTCATCGGGTTTCCATGTCCGACTGACTGCGCTCCGGGCTAGTTCTATTTGCCCTGGCCCCGGGCACTGGCATATTTGTTTAGCTAGCGGCAATCCGGACCGTCGCTCCACAGCCAGACAGTTTGTGGAATTTCATTTCCATTTTTAGCTACCAATTTTGCATTTGCTTGCATCTGCCGCACGTAAGCTCCATATTTGCACCGTGTCCGCCCCAAAACTGAAATTGTAAAACGAACTAATAAAGCAATTGGAATGTGGGGAATATTTGCAAGTTTTTACTAGAAAATGAAATTTCAAATAAATCTGCGCAAAATTTTATTCCCATTTAAAAGTTTGTATCTTTCAGGCAGTCAGTGGCAACGCATAATGGGGCACATTTTAATTGGTGCTCTGGCTTGATGTTCTAGCCGTAGAATATATTCAGTGGGAATTTTAAACTAAAATTTGACTTGTCAGATATTTAATGAAAGTCAGAAATTAAACAATTTTTAGTGCTGTGTTTAAGGGGAAATGTGGGATTTCTGTTGGTCCAACCATGAACCTGTGCGTTTTTAGCCTTTGTAGTCCTCCTTCTAAGAACCTCTTGCTGTTAAGTTATTAATTTATGCTATTTGTATATTCAAAATCTATTAGCAGTTGGAAAAAAAAGCAATTAAATAATAGCATAGCTATAGCTGACGGCAACAATGTAATCAAATAAAATAGCATGGCCATCAGCATGGCTTAAATGGTGTTCGGTGGCATAATCAAATTGAGCAATTTTGACATTTCTGCTAATCCCCTTATATGATCCGCATGCAATCAGACCACGCGCTAATCCTTTGTCATTTCCATTTAATTATGCCGCCAGAAATTGGAAAAGCTAGAAAATAAATGAATTGCATAAAAAATGCATTGAATAACAATCAAACAGTGGATTAATCTAGGGATATGTACTATGACTTTGTTGAGTTGAGCATCAGGATTTTATTCTGTTTAATTGTCCTTGTGTAATGTTGATTGTAGATTTTTCGGGGATTTGTGAATTGACTTGTAATAAAATATTAATTTTCCTTATAAAACAGCATTCGAAACTTTCCAACGATGTGGCGCTCGAACCAGGTTTCCGGTGCCTTTGGACACTGATCCTCCCAAAAGTAGTTCAAAGTCTCACACATTATGTGCTTGGCCTTCTTCAGTATCATATTTGAATCAATAACATCGATTTCATTTTTCGGTTCGGTCATCTTCCAGACGATGGAAATGCAGAAGATCACAGCGGCGCACCCCAAAAGAATGTGGAATCCGTTTGAGAACATTTTTAGAATATTCCTGTTGCTCGGTTGAAATCTAAACTCAACTGAATTCTCTATGATAGTTTGATTTAAATTCAATAGGAGACCGAATGTCTGGAGTTGATTGAACCCTAAAAACATATGGCTTAGCTTTGGGGCAGGGGTGGCTTGACAAGTCCTCCAGTGGTTGCTCCCATTTCCTCAATTTCGATTGGGGAGCACTTCAACTGCAGTACAATACCATATCGAGACGAAGAATGGAAAAACTGGTGTATGTATAGTTGAGAAACGAGAAACAATAAGAAAGCAACGCCACTCTGCCTCCCATTCAGCCAGGACACACACAAAGCCGCAACGAGTCCCTGGTTGAAGTGATTTCCGTTGTACGAGTCATCAGAACAGAACAGTCCAACAAGTGCTCGGAGCGTTGGTGCATTCAATGGAGTGCACTCTCCGCAAAAGGAACACTTGAACTGCAGAAAGAAAAGACGCACAATACAATGCAGATGTCGAGGGGCTTTGTTTGAATATTGAGTTCTGCATTTGCCGGGATTCGCCGGGCAAATATAACCAAGGCTTTATATGCCCCATTTCACATAATAATAAAAAACAATAAAGCAAATTGCTGTTGGTTCTGTTCTATTTTGGTTTATTTTAAACGGCTGAAACATATGCGGATAAACAGCCTTCAAAGCTGGAAAGTGTGTTGCGGATGGAAGCTGCAATGGAATACAAATTTAGCTTGGCTTAAACACCAATACGAATATGAATGTCTTACATGTCCTCGCTGGCCTGACACAACGACTCCACGAGTCGCGTCAGCGGTAGATCTCCCATGCAGATCTTATAGACAGTTGTGAATAGTGGAAATCTGTCAACAAGGAGGTGAAACTCATCACAAAATGACAATAAAAGGTTCGCGCACGCACTTATCCACCAGTCCCTTTTTCTTGAGTATAATGTGAACCAATTCGGCAGTGACTGGACCCAAGGGCTCGTGGCCTGATATGAGTATATGCTCGAGTTCGCTCAGAGGTTTTCCAGTTCTCACAAAGGCCTCGGCCAGCTTCCGGTTACGATTGGCTAAAGAGAACACTTCTTTAGCTTGATTTATGGTTCTGCATAAGGAAAGCAATTACCATAACAGCTAGTGACCAGATCGGATATGCCGCATGCCTCAAAGAAGGTGCCCATGCGACAGCCCGGATAGAAGACATCAACAAACTGCAGCATCTCCAGGAAGCCCCTACGAATGATGCCCGCCTTGGTGTTCTCATTCAGTTCCATGCCATCGGAGCACCCGGCAGCAAATGCAATTATGTTCTACTCGTATGGGATAATTCAAAGTCAAAGCAATTTGAGGAAGCAAACCTATTTACCCTTAGAGTAGAGCAGATCTCCACACAGTCAGCATCTTCGGTGACCACCACTCGAAACGTGGGCGACTTGAAAATGTCACGAAGCACGCGGTAGTACTTCTGATCCCGACATCCCACAGTGCCTTCGGCAAAGTTATCATTGGCTATCTCGTGGGCCAAATTGCAGCCCACCATAACGGAGCAGGAAACCTTCAACTGGCGCATGATGATCTGAGAGATCAGTATGATCTGTCCATCTTCTCCCCGCTCGAATCCTTTGATCAGAGAGACGGCATGGGCCGTGGGCTTCACCTTGCCCAACAGGGTCTTGCAGCAGCTGCTCACGAAGGTCGGGGGTATGGCAAATATCAGAATATCGGAATCCCTAGCAGCAGTCACAATATCATCCACAGCCACCTGAAAAAAGAGTTCTACGAGATCGAAGACTCTAATGGATCAACTGGATCTTACAATATTTGGTGGCAGCTCAAAGTCCGGCATGTACTTCACATTTATGTGGGTAGTGTTGATGATGTCTGTAAGCTTTCGACCGTCGACCATTTCCTCGTACACATACATGAAGACCTTCGGTTCCATTGTGTTCGACATTGCGGCCACATTCCTGCCGACATTACGGGCTATGGTCGTGGCCCAATTGCCAGATCCAATGATGCATGTCGCTATCTTATCGGCCATTCTATAATCTGGAAAGTGTACTAATTGGATTTATTACTATTGTGTTATTAAATTGATTTTAGAGTCTTAGGTATCTATGATGTCCTCGTAGTTAAGTACAAATTAAACAGTTTTGTAGTTTAATTTTTATTCAAACCCATGGGTAACCAAGCGTAAGCTTTGTTGACCTTAAAAGTGAATGCATAAATATATTTATGGATAAACGAGAGCAAATAGGGAGAGGCACACGCATATAGCACGTGGTACGCAGATTGTTACATATGCTATGTATGGTTGGTTGGCATACATATATTGATTGAGTGCTGGGCAAACAATTCATCAGTGAAGCGTTCGTGGGGTGAAAAAAAGTACGCATACGTCACGTTCGCCAAACTGTTCGGGCAAATAATTAACTGTGGCAACTGTTTCAGCCACCATCTCCCTCCGGCACTACGCAGTTCTGAACCACTGCGGCCAGTTCGTTGGCCCATCCGGATCCATGGAGATCCATGCGTTCATTCATATTTGCGGCGAAATATATATCGGGAATTTTTATAATTCTCGTATTTATTTTTTAATTACGCTGGCGTTCTCAGTAAGTGGAGAAAACTGAGGGAAATATAGTATAAATAAAAAATATGAAATTGCCAGCGTTGAAATGCCAAAGGGCGAAAGCCAAAGTGAAAGTTTCAGCGAAATCAATGTGAAAGAAAGCAAACACTTGAAAATTGTGCGCGACGCTCAGTCGCGCAGTCTGGGAACCGTAGTTTATAGTCCTGGCCGCCAATCCAATTCCAAATACTACGACTGCGAGTGCCACCCAATCCAATCCAAGCCCACCCAGCGCCATCCACTCGACTATGAAATCAAAATGGATGATGGGCAAAATGAAAATGGAATTTTTAATGAGCCGCCGCCGAGGCAAAGGCCAAACGAAGGCCCCGACTCAAAACAATGGCGAGGAGACAAAACAATGGAAACTCGTCCCTCGAATGCGAATGCGAATGGAGTGGACCAAGGTTGCTGCAGTCAAGTGGGCCGTCGCAATGGAAATGCACGGCAACACTTTAAAGAGCAGCCACACAAGCGTTCCGAAATTGTGTACGGCCATTTGCTGGTCATATCTTTAGCTGTATTTCTCGGTCGAAAATTGTATGTTCTGTTTTAGGGGGAATACTAGTTGCATTGGGAATACTTTCAAAGCAATTTCAATCCCTCATTTCAAAACCAGACACAAACATTCCAGAAGTAACTCCTATATAGTATCACAAACACTGACAGACTTTCAACATGCCGCCCAAGGAAGATGCCAAGGAAGAAAAACCGAAATACTTCACCTGGACACAGGTACGTGCGTCTTTGAGAATATAACCAACTTGGAAAGCTCATCGGTTTCGTGCTGCAGCTGCTCGTTGCCGTGTCCGTATCCTTGTGCTCCTTCTGCACGGGTTTCTGTGGTGCTTACACCTCTCCGGCCTTGCCCTCCATGAAGGGCAAGGATGGCAAGTTCCTCATCACTCCGCAGCAAGAGTCCTGGGTGGGTGGCCTCATGCCGCTGGCCTGCCTTGTGGGCGGCATTCTGGGCGGCCTACTGATCATGTATATTGGCCGGAAGTGGACAATTATGATCACGGCTCCACCGTTCATTATTGGCTGGCTGCTGATCGGCTTTGCCACGGTTATCGGCATGGTGCTGGCGGGTCGCGCTTTCTGCGGCCTGGCCGTGGGCTTGGCCACCATGGTCCTGCCCGTCTATCTGGGCGAGACATTGCATCCAAAGGTGCGCGGAACTCTGGGATTGATGCCAACCCTGCTGGGAAACGGGGGCCTGCTGCTCTGCTACGCCTTTGGTTCCTTCCTCAACTGGTACCTTCTGGCCTTCGCTGGTGCAATTTTCTGCATTCCCTTCATCATCCTGATGCTGTTCGTGCCGGAGACACCGCGCTACCTGTTGTCGCGCGGCAAGACCGAGCAAGCCCAAAAGTCGCTCGCCTGGCTGCGTGGCAAGAACGCCGACGTCGATGGAGAGATGAAGGAGCTGGCCAGCACCCAGGGCGAGACTGCCAATGCCAAGAGCACGTACGGGGACATGTTCAAGAAGCGCAACCGCAAGCCCATTCTCATATCACTCGGCCTGATGCTGTTCCAGCAGATGAGCGGCATCAATGTGGTGATCTTCTACACTCAGCAGATCTTTTTGGACGCCGGCTCCACCATCGAGCCAGCCATTGCCACGGTCATTGTGGGCGTGGTCAACTTTGTGGCCACTCTAATAGCCACAGCTGTCATCGATCGAGTTGGACGCAAGGTGAGATCTGTGATGCCCGATTTTCTCTTAACTTTCTACTGAATTTCTTTCAGGTCCTGCTCTACATCTCCGACACGACCATGATCTTCACTTTGCTCACGCTGGCCATTTACTTTCTTGGCAAGCACAAGGGCTGGGATCTCTCCGGTGTGGGCTGGCTGCCGCTCTTGGCCGCCGGGCTATATGTGCTCGGCTTCTCCGTGGGCTTCGGACCCATTCCCTGGCTAATGATGGGCGAGATAATGCCAGCCAGTGTCCGTGCTCCGGCTGCCTCTGTGGCCACCGCTTTTAATTGGCTGTGCACCTTTATAGTCACCAAAACGTTTGTGGACATGATCTGTGAGTCTTTTCTTGCATCATGAGTGTGCTATATATGTGTTGTATAATGTGTTCTCCCTCAGCTCTGATCAATAGCTATGGCGCCTTTTCCGTATATTGTGTGTGCTGCATTATAGCCATGGTATTTGTCATTTTCTTTGTGCCCGAAACCAAGGGCAAGTCCCTGGAGCAAATCGAGGCAGAGCTGACTGGAGGGAAGGAATAGATGCCAAAAATAAATTCATATACATACACATACTTACATACCTACATATATTCAGAAAAATTTCCCATTCAGCATTAATTTCGGTTTTTATTATTTCAATGCTGCTGGAATTTTCCACCTTTTTTTGTGCTGCCAAATAAAGTAAACTTAACTCTGGCAGTTGTTTGGAATCGTCTCTGGGATGTGCACATAAAGTTTTTACCACGA